TGGCTGGGGGTGCGACTTATACTATGGAGCGATTTATGGGTGAAATTATTAACATATTATTATATCATTTCACATGTTATTTTCACATTAAACCACAAGAGGCCGCTCTAGAGTTGATAAAACCACGATGAGTGTGACGTAAGCGACGGAGAAGAGGAAGCGCTGCCATCTTCTACCTCCGGAGTTGGTGGAGTTGCTTTAAAGTGACACAGAGGATGACGATGTCATTGGATTTAGTGATTTGGAGTGACATTGATGGTTTGGTGAACTTGTTAGCATGTTCTTTATGCTATAGTTATCTGAATAACTCTTAATATGTTACTTGAACATACCAGGCACGTTTTCAGTTCGTCGTTTATGCATCATGTAACGTTAGCATAGTGTACACTTATTCAGCGTGTTGTTTTCTATTTTATTTTTTTTTAAATTGCCTTTCAAGATGACATGTCTGTTCTTGGGGTTGGATTTTATCACGTAAATTTCTCCCCAAAATGCGACTTATACTCCAATGCGACTTATGTATGTTTTTTTGTTCTTTATTATGCATTTTTTGGCTGGTGCGATTTATAATCCGGAACGACGTATAATCCGAAAAATACGGTAATTGACTTGAATAGTTTGGATTTTGCAGGGCCTTTACACATTGACACATATGATATTTAATTAACATGACAAAAGCTAGAGATGAATCAAACCAAAACAAATACTTCCACTTGAAAATGTAAAATTTTTTTAAATTGTATCGGAGTCAATGTATTGAGATGTCACAAATTGTATTTTATTGGTGAGAGGCACACCCCTACACACATGACAGTTCAGTCGTAATTGGCTGCTTTGCTAGGTGTATGGCGGGCCTTACACACATAGTTCCATCCATGAGGAAACCATACGGCTGAAAACTGGCACAGTGGCTTCAGCTGGCTTGAGCCATATGGCCAGTTGTGAGGAGCTCCTCTGACCTGGAACGCCCGCGCTAAGATTCCCATTACAGACTGCTGTACAGAAAGCCAACAACTACAATAACATGATGGCCCTGTAGTGATAATTTCTGTCCGCCAATTAGGTGACTCCAGTAAATCACATGATTTTTGGAGTCGAGGAAATATTTGCAGTTGATGAACAAGGAGTCATTTTGGAGGGGTTAGACCAGGGGTGTCAAACTCCGGTCCTGGAGGGCCGCTGTCCTGCATGTTTTCCAAGTCTCCTGTTGCAACACACCTGATTCAAATGAACAGGTTCAATGTCAGGCTTCCGCAGAGCTTGCTGATGATCTGTTGAGACTTGGAAAACATGCAGGACAGCGGCCCTCCAGGACCTGAGTTTGACACCCCTGGGTTAGACCTTCTTGAGCATCTTTGTGGTTGATAAGGCTCGATGAGCATCTTCCTTGGCATTAAATTTGTTTGACTTTGATTCGCATTCCTTTCTCTGGTAATTCGTAGTCATTCATAGTCTAAGGTCGGATGGGGTGAATCATCTGTTTTTATATGTCACACATAAAAACAATCGCTTCAACTCATCTGTTTTTGAGCATGCGCTTTCTCCGATGCATTGACTTTCACATTATTGCATAATGGTGATGTCATTGGAAATACTTTACATGACAATACTTTATTGCCAATATAAAGTGGTACCTTGAATTATGAGTTGCATTTGTTTTGTGACCAAGCTCATAACTCAAATTACTTCGAAATCAATATTCCCTACTGAAATTAATTGAAAGTCCATTAATCTGTTCCAGGCTTTGAAAACCACTAAAAGGGCTCCCAAGGCATCAGCAACCGGATGCCATATTTTCACTTCACTCAAGCGGGGGCGTTGGTCAAATTTTGGCTAATAACACAAACCCCAAAAAATAAAACATGAAAAATAAACCAAGTGACAACTCATAATTTGAAAATTTGGAAGTCGGGGTGAGTTAAGGTACCACTGATTAAAATAGGATGAAAACGTAAGCACTGCCAAGTCTAACAGGGGACCAATGTCATTGTCCTGGGTACATATTAGAACTGATTTAAATTCACAGCCCTTCAGCGAGTAACCCTTAACTAAAGGGAGGTGAACATGAGATTCTCCTCAAAAGCCTCTTGACTCCCAGTGTAATGGACAACTACACAAGCGAGCACAATTGTTAAAAAGACACTTACGGCGTATTCATTCCAACCACAGCTCCACTTCATACCCACTAGCTTTTAAAGAGCAGAGCAAGCAGATGGATGTTGGCATATAACAGCTTAGAAAATATGTAAAAACAACACAGCGTGAGAGCACTGCAAATTCTGAGCTCATGTTAATGGTAGGCGATGGGTTTTTAACTGGTATAAATTACGGTTGGATAAAATGGCCTCAGAATTATATGACAATATTTGTCGACAGTATTGCATTTTTGAGCATGTCGGATGACATTTAACAGTAATTGCAGTTTTACAGGCTTCTTTGTGCAAACAAAAATGCTCTCATCACCAGTACTGATATCTGTGCCTGATGTGCATCTATATCCTTGTTCTCCATGATGTGATCTAATGAATGTGCTACAGTGAATTAGCTTCCACATACACATACCTTCTTCATGCAGCACATACAAAAAAAAAAGGCAAAACCCACAGTAGGAGTTCTCATGGAGGAGCATGCAATGTAGTTGTGTGATTTAATGATATATTTGTCATTACTGTGCGTTCACTTTTAATTTATGGCAGCGCGGACACACATTGTATCTTTTCCATGGCTCCAGACTGCCCCTAAATTGCATTTTCCCCCTTCAAGCAATAGATTTACACATTTTTAAAAATTAAATATTTTTGGGTGCCCATGCAATTATGCTTCATACTTTGGATCAAACAGGATGTTGTGTTGGCGGAAAAAAAACAAAAACAAAACATGACCCACGCATTAAAAGCAAATGAGCATGAATGAGGGTTAGCCTTGTGTCCGGTGTGAATTTCAAGGCCCGGCGGCCACGTTCGGCCCGCGACATCATTTTATGTGGCCCACAAAAGGAACGATGTTCAGTGTGTTTCTTTCTAAAATACCAGCATTGCAAGTTGTCTTCACTTTTAAAAACACAGTTTATTTATTTGTTTTTGTTATGAATCCCCTTTTAAAATAAATGTGACAATATTTGAAAAGAAGTTTTTACTAGCATCTGATTTCAAAACGAGTTATTCATCAATGTGTTATGTAATATGAGGCTCTCATACATTTATTTGGCTTCACAGTAAAAACAGTCCTCGCGAAACCATAGGAAAACATTAACTATGATGTGGCCCACGCCAAAATTTAGTTAGACACCCCTGGACTACCCTAATCGGCATTAGTCTAAGATTAGTTTCATGCCAGTGGTAGAGGGTGCATGGATTAGAACAACAAGGGCAGCGATGCAAAGTGACGCTTCATCATCAGATATGTCCAATAATACGAGGACAACAACGGTGTGTGTCCAACGTCTGAGTAATATGATTTATTTACCGTAACATACAATACGCATTCAATACACTCTTACCTACAGTATTTTAATTTATTGTTATGTTCATTTCTGCATTAGATATATAATGTGGTTTTATTTCATTTCATTGAACATTACCAGTAAGCATATTTATATATAGGCAGCAAGGAAAACGATCTCAAATGTGATTGCAGTGTATCGAATGACGCTATAGAAAATTCTGGCTTCTGCTTACTTTTATTACTGACATGGTATGTGTCAAAACAATGCATGTTGTTATTCACTATTTGCTATAATTACCATGTCAGTGTAACCAAAAATGACGTACATAAATATTTCCATCTACACAAACGTGCGCACACATGGGAGCCCACTTTACATGAGGGAGATGTAAAGTTAATGATTAATCCAGTGATCCCATAACATTTAAAGAGACATTAAATGTCCCAATCGGACCATGTCAACTAAATGCAGTCATTTTCCAGAGTGTGGCTCATCACAAGCCATTGCCCTGTTGTGAATTTAAAAAACTGAAAGCCATTAACTCTTCTGACAGCTTGACTGATAAGTTCCTCATAAATATTCCTCACCCAAGAGTTATGAACCTCTGTTTTACTGCAATAAAGAAATACAACATGGTTGAGGGAAGATAGATTTTAGAGAAAGCTGACACGCAACCGTTTGATGACACAGCTCAACCAAGACTGCAGTGAATACTTTCCTTGTGCTCACAGCTTTTTAATATTTCGACTTGTCTTTGACCTTGTTACAGAGATGTATAAAGATTCCATTTTGACCTCTAAGGATCTATATTGCATGTTCATGATATTGAAAGCTCCCGCTGTATATTTCAAGACCTGCTCTTCAATTCGGAATCACATACAGACTACTACCACTCAATTCATTTCAGACTCAAAAATAATTGCATTTTTTTTCCTTCTATGATACACCAAAGAGACCAAATTAAAGCAGCCTTAGTCAACCAAGCCTCTATTTTGTGCTGCACAGCATTCAGTAGAAAAATATAGCCCACAGTGTTGGTTCACATCCACCAAAGAATGCCTGTGGAAGATTTCTGTCACTCTGTCGAATAAATTCTCAAAGCACTCGCTCTTCCACTAAGACTAAGATGAGAAGCAAGCAGCGCATATGGTAGCAGATATACAGCAGTTGTGATTATGTCATTGAGTGACATGAATTACTGACTTGAATAGGACCTCTATTTGAACACATCAAAAGGCTATAAAAACATTGCTAGCCCAACGTAGAAAAAGTACCCCGTCTTAAAAATGACTGGATGTTATTGACTCTATGTTACTGTTCTCAAGCACTGCGTTTCATTTAATGATGCTTAAATGTGATTGACATTTCGTGTGGTCTTTGTCACTGGTTCAGATCATCAGGGGCCAGCGATGTGAATACTAAACTGTTTGTTCCGATGTATGGTTCTTGGATTACATGTTTTTAATTCATGTAAACTTGAATGTGCCCAATTAAAACCACCTCAACAGGAAAAAAAAAGAAAAAAAACTGTGACAAACAGACAAGATGTACATACCTTTTACAATGAGGTTGAGAAGTTTAGGCCGTGGGTTGCGCTCGCTTTGAATTGAGCACGTGTACTGGCCATCGTCCGATACATCCACCTTCTGAATCTGAAGGCTGTACTCGTGCTTGTCTCCAACGCTGGACACAATAGACACACGCGGGTCTGTGGACCACTGGTCATTCCCTGCAAAAATGATGCTTGAGCGGTTCAGCCAGGCTCCTTTTGAGATCCCATCCAACAGGTAGCACCTGTAGGAACAAAAAACACTTGGGTCAGATGTGTGGAAGTGGAAGAACATTATGATGGGGTTCCTCATGGTTGTCGCAAATCGTCAAGGCTTTTGACGGCTGAAACATGGATGCCAGGTAGCTTTGGAGGACATTTGTGGCTGATTCCAATGAAGCCTGACCTGGCTCCAGACTCGGCGTCAGCGTGGAGCGGCACATGAAGTGTTTGATATTAGTTTCTGCCAGCAACAAATTCACTAATCCATCTCTTGTACCGGAGCATGCAAGAGCCCATTAATCGCAGACACACTGCTGAGTGTCCTGACACGCGCAGCGAGCGTACCATTTCCTCTCCCTCTACTTATTCTGTCTCTTTCTCTCACAACCCCCACGCCCTCCACACACACACACACACACACACACACACACACACACACACACACACACACGTTCGACTTTAAGCATTCAACACAAGTATGCCATGGTGGCCACTGTTGGCAAATTAAACACACGGCTTTACGAGTCAACTCTTGCAAGTGGTGTTACACCCCGTTGCAGCACGTGCTGTCAGGTTTTGTTGAATTCACCTCTTTTATAGAAGCCAAATAGGTTTCTCATCCACACCACGACTGCTGTGACAAATGTTTTGACAAGTGAGACATCTCAACAGGCAACCACAGCAATCAGAGTCTGTAACAGTCATCCATCCTGTCTCCCGCGTTGTCTCACAACCGTCCCGTTTTCGGGGCTGCTGCGGCCGCCAGTATAGTGAAGATGTATTTTTACTTTTTTACTCGAAAATTATCAAACAAAAACAAAACAGGAATCTAAAAGAATGTAAAAAAATAATATGCAGCCTACCTTCCATGTATCCATTTGCATTTAATCATCATGATAAAAGCATGGATTTTAGGCCGGAGCACATTTTACCCAGAGGCAGAATCTCTACTTTTTCCTTCATCTTGATTGACTTGTCCTTGATGTTCATTCACCATCTGCTTATCAGTATTAAATGTCTTTGCACTAGTCCTCCAGAAATGATTACTGTTATCTCTGCCTGTGTAATCCCTTACCAAGGTGTCTAGTGATACTTGTATTTGGACACCTCCTGACAAATACGTGTCAAATAGGGCTATTTTTGACAGATGAAACCGGGATCCCATGTATTGTTCACTGTAGCCAATCCAATTTCAACCTTTAATGCAACTTTGTATCTTGGCATAATTTTACTGATTAGTGGTTGTTATCAAGACAATTGCTAGTTTCTAATTAATGCAGTTGCAACTGAATATTTTGTCAGGATGTTGACCTTACATCAGTATGAATTCAAAGGAACATCCAATGCCGAACATTCCGAAAGCGGTACAGTTTGGAGTTTAACCTACATTTTCTGGAAATAATGTGCCTCAAAAAGTCACGTGCGATGTGAGCAGCACTCACGAGACATAAATTCAGTGAGTGTTGGTGAATTTTGCTTTTCTCGTCATGGCTTGATGTTTTTATGTTGTTGTTGTTGTTGATGTGTGTGTGTGTGTGTGCGCGCGCGTGCGTGCGCGCGTGCGTGCGCGCGCGCGTGCGTGCGTGTGTGTGTGTGTGAATAGGTGAAAACCACTAAATGGAAAGATGTGAAAGATGTACAGAACAAAATCTCACAAGTTGCGCCTGAGAAGTCAATGGGTTCAATGCAAATTAGGAGAGTGAAATTCCCTGAAAAGAAAAATGAAGTCTACAAAGATGAATGGATCTCACAAATCAACAGCTGAAAAATAGGAGAGAATTAAAACTGGCCTGCGCCGTAAGGAATGTGAGCAATTATCTACCAATAGGCAATTTCTTCACATAATTATGTGAAAGTATTGCCCATAATACATCCACATTAAAAGTTCAAGCACTATTCATTAATCAACATTTCAGAACAAGGGCATGAGCAGCAATTTATTAAGTGTTATGTTAGCATCATGTTAGCTTGGTCCCAATGGAGATGAGGGCTTTTAGCATTGATAATCTTTCTTTTCATTTAGCTCAATATTTGAACAGTATTATTTGTCACTTTGAAATATAGTAAACAAATTCATAATTTAACACCACCTCAATAATATTCCACCATATCAATTTCAATGTGCAATCATCAAAGTCACTTGAGTCCAATAAGAGGAACAGCTAATACCAAGCGCCTTAATTAAAAAAATAAAAAAAGAAGAAAGTCGGAAACATAGCTGTCCACAAATAATAGTGTTTTTCAAAATTAAACATATCCACAAAGACACATTTGTGGTTTCGTACGTGTAAGACAAAGCAACAGGTGGTAGCTACAACCCTAACTGTATGCCATTTTGTCTCTTTAGTCGCGAGCAACAATACATCCCCAAATCGCATTTATTGTGTCCTTTCAAACTGATGATGGCATATCTGTGTATAACCCTGAAAATTGTCTCCAACCGAGGTAAATTTGAGTCATCCTAAAAACTGCGAACAAAGAGGTTTTCAGTGTTTCCAAGGCTTACAATGTCTTGTCAATGGAGCAATTGTGAAATCGTAATGACTGACTGGCTTTTGACATTTACTGTGAATGCACGACTGTGCAAATTCACCCCTACAAGTGGATTGAAAAGGAAGAGTGCAATCACGTGAAGTAACTTTGAAAGAGGGAATAAGTTAAGTATGGCCGATAGTATTTATTCAATAATTAGATGCCAAGGACTGGTTTGATGTAAAGAACTAAATACTTGCCGGACAGTGACATTGCTTTCAATGCCAAGTATCACAAGGTGGAAGTAACATCAGTTCACCATTCTTCATTGCTGTAGAAGCATATGCCACAACCTTTTGATTTCCCTGAATAAAGAAAATACATGACATTTTTTCGGCAACTTAAGGCAATTGCATCACATACTTCTTTTCTTATTCGCAAATGGCGGTAGTATTCCAAATATACACGCGTAGGAGAGGTGTGGTTTTCCTCTGTTGCAATGTTCCCAGTGACATTTCTGACCGTGTGTTTCAGCATCTGCTTGCCCAAATCTTGCCATCGGTTCTGAGGAGGCCTTTTCGCTCTGCATACTTCTGTCACTGTTTCGGATCTGGCAGGGACCACCCCGAACAGCTCAACTGGGACATCTGCTTCCCGCAGCCATCTGTACACAGGTCCACCTAATCCTCCTCCTGCTGTCAACCTTTCTCACTTTGCTTTCGCTGTCTTATTTGCACATCCAGTATTTCAAACAGGTAAAGATATGAACGCAAAATGCATACACCTGATACACTGCCAAAAACTGCATGGCGACTTCACTTGTAGATGGAAACCAAAATTCCGCCTTATGGGGTAATATCAAAGCTGTAATAAAATTGCACAAGTTGGGCAATGTTACACCTTTGCAGCGTTCTATGCAAAAGTCATAAAGTTATATCTCTGAGGTTGAAGTGTAATTAAAAAGACAAATGTGAATGTTGTGTCATTGGTTAAAGGATGATATTTTTGCCCCAGCCTGGTTGGATATTCTGCTGCTGCCGAATTTACTCCCACCATTCAGTACCCAGGTGACAGGTCAGACTTGGCAGAAGGCCAAGGAGTGCGAGGGAAGTGAAGTGGGGGTCAAGGCTGGGTGTTGGGTAGGGACATTCACTGCCTGCTTGCCAGAAGCGCTAAGTATTTACAGATTAGTTTGTTCCGCTTCGTAAGAGTTTCAATCTGAAGGAAGGGGGAGTACACGTTTGGATAATGCTTACACAGGACTCTTGAGATTATATAAATTGTCAGAGTTTGGCATTCAGTCAATGACAGCTGTTTAAAGCGTTAAAAGCGCATCTGCGCCGCGGCACCTGGGTTGGCAATTCCCTGCTACAGATGATGCCGGAGGTTAACAGGAACCCTTAAATGTCTCCATGTGGTTGATCAGGAAATAAAAGCTTTTTAAAGGGTTAAAAAAAAAAAAAAAAAAAAAAAAAACAGGACCTGTTGTTTTAACCTATTACGATATACTGTTGTTGAATGGCTATCAAGTGAAAGGAAAGGTCGTGTGCCACTGGTCTTTAATGCGATGATTTTTGAAACGTGCCAGTAACAAAGAGGGTGTTTTGTTATTGCTTTCCTGTGGGGCTTATTCACTCTCTTGATGTGCTCTGCTCACGGCACAAATGGACAATCCTTCTTTGTCAAAGGACATTGGAACTCCGGCACAGTCCGATAGGTATGACCACATTCATCATTCTGACAAAGAAAGTAAGCAATTGCCACAGAAGTTAACTAGGTTCCGTCATCTACAAATATTGGAATAAATACTTTGCGCAGAGGCATGAGGCGCCTCTGGGTGGCGCAACATTTCAGATGCGCTTGTCTCCGTGCAATTCCCTCTATTAAGACGAACAGTGAGAAGGAAAAAAAACACATAAATTAAAGAATAAGAGTAAGTATGAAACCAATGAGAAACCTTGAAAGTCGAGCGTCCCAAAGTGGAAATCACTTACTTCCACAGCATTTAAATGATGAAATCCAGAAAGTGTGTTTGTTTTTTATTACTGTTTTTATTACACAAAAGGGTCAATCGAGCTTTATTTGTTGAGCAAATTCCCCAAGCAAGATGCAAATGAAAGTATGGTTATTACGCACTACGCAACACATTTCATGGTTCCTCCCTATTGTGTCAGTCAGGTATCTTCAAAGGGGATTAGTATTATGTAATGTTAACATAATATTGCAAAATTATACTGTAAAATTGCATGTTGTCATTAAAGGTTTTGTGATAGCGACAGTCAGAGTCTGTAACAAATGAAAAAAAATGCTGATGGTGATGATTGGTTTTGCAATTGGTTTAAGATCCATCCACTATAATTGTAAAAAAAAAAAAAAAATACAACTGTTTGAGACACTAACTCCAAAAGAGAATTATGATGAGGGAATTTACACCTCATTCCCCAAAAATGTAAAACAGTCTAGTTTTATATGTTACTCTTCTTTGCCACTCTCATTATTTGGATGGGTTCATGATGTTTTTTTGATGTGATGATGTGTGCATGCTTTTATG